TCTTAGAGATTCGACCCAATATTCAGTTGACATTTGTTTGCTTTACATTCTTTTTCTATGCACGTTTGTTTCTTACCATCAAATAGGTTGGACAAAATATTTCTAGTTAATATATATATATAAAGATTTCGAGATCGGCGCATTCGTTCAGCTCGTCGACTTGATCAAAAATAAGGGTGTAGGAGATTTCTGTTGCAACACCAACCATGCAACATACAACATGTCGTATGGTTAATGTCTGCAAGCAATGGTATACTCCTTATACCAGTATTCAATGGAACCAGGGTATAAGTTAATTATGCAAAATAATTATATAATGTTTATATAATGATTAATATCAATATAAACATTTTACAATGCTAAAAAATTATCTGAAAATGCCTTCTTGTGTGCTTCTCATATGTGAAGATTATAATTTCATTTTTCTGGCAGGTTCTGTTAGTCTTTAACTTAATGCGCGATGCGTATAAAATGAATGAACTTAACCTAACTGTAAGTCTGGCGGAAAAAAAAGGCTAACGGCTGCTTGTGTACTTTTGTCCTGTTGAAACTTTCTCTGTTCCAATGCCTTGCTTGCTATCTCGCTTGCTCTCTCTGTGCTGCTGTTTCTTGTTCGTCCTTTTCTTTGTTATTGCCTTGGCAGCTAAACTTTCAAGGTTAAGCCTGCCAGCGGGGAGCAATGACATTTGGCTGGCGGCGAGCCATCGACCACTTCACAGTGGAGCAAAACAGCATTTATATGGGTTGATATAGTAAATACGCAATAATAATAATAATAATAATAACCTTAAACATATTTCCAGACATATCTCTACGTAAATACATGCCTATATTAAGGTTACGATTGTTATGAACTTTTATATTAGCTTCCATTTGGAACCAATGTACATGCCCCGTTCTCTCTTGCTCTCTTCATTTGAACTTCTGCCTGCCTGCCTGCCTGCTTGTCATTGGGTAATAAGATAAGGAGACGAAAAGTAACTGTGAGCTTTTATAACAGTTCTGAGCGTTTGTACTAACCGCATCGGGTTGCTCTGCAAACGCAAAATCAAACACAAAAACTCAATTTGTATATTTATAAATAATTGTCTTTGGATTTGTTGTTGTATTTGCAACCACGGTGTCAAGCATACAGTCTTTTGTCGGGAGTGCCCGACTAAGGGACACCACATAAAACGTCTTCTACTTGAATTAGTCAATTTTTATATATATTTCAAACAATAGGAAAATGTTTACTTGCTCGACTGCCAGACCAGAAATTAATAGAATTTAATAAAGACGCGCCTGATTGCTGCAGATCAAGAATATATGCGGAGATGCTTTCTGCTGACTGTTATATACATTTTCGATCGTGACCAGGGCACAAGAAATGCGACTAAATGTAAATGTGTATATGTATGTGTGCATGTGTGCTGGCTGAAAATTTTATTAGTTTTATGCACACTTACATGCATACTTTACACACACACACACACACACACACGCACGCACAAAGCTTGCCTGGGTAGGGCAGCAAGATGCGCTGGCGCCCTGTCTCCGTCTCTGTCTCTGTCTCAGTCTCAGTCTCTACCCTCTATTTGATGGGGTGTTGTCCTTGTCCTTGTCGTTGTTCTGGATGTGCGCGGCGTCTGGCCCTGTTCGGTGGAAGGGAAAGGTTATTAGACTTAGCCCAGACATTTTTGTTAAAATAACCTTTCGCTTTTAGGTGGTTGGCTCGTCGACGGAAACAACCTTGCGTGGTCTGAGTGCGGTTCATCAGACGAAGACGCGGCGCGGCCAGTGTCCTCTGAGTCGTTGTAACTCTGAGGGCCGACGAACCGTGCCACGTCACGACAGCGATAATACTTTAGAGAACGAGACTTTACGCTTGAAAGCGTATCCCTAGTCCTTACCTATGCACAATATGCACGTGTAAAATTGTCGCAGAACACGAAAAGCCAGCAACAAATTCTTGATTTTCTGCATTGAGTTCTTCTAACTAACAATCTTCCACTGACTTCTTATTTCTTATCATCTTTGTACTGAACAGTTTTTTCTGTTAATATAAGGCATTGAATCGAATGAAAAACAAAATAGAAAGGTTTCCATTCATTTACTCCCGTCAGATAAACATCCGAAATCGGCTGAGAATTGGAATGTAGATCCTCCAAGTTTGTTTCTGATAATCGATAAGAAACATCGGTTAAGAAACACAAAATTTATTAAGGACAACGTGTTTTGGCTGTCCACTTGTTTCCGGCAGCTAGCGCAAACTTCAAGAATTTGCGATTGTTGCTGCTATTTTAATTCGTTTTTTTCTCCATAAGGGTTCTATTGTTGTTATCGCTGTCGGTTACAAGTTCGAGTCCTATTGAGGGAACTGTTTTTGTTTGTTTAAGTAGGTAATAGGATAGGGTTTAGGGTATCTACTAGCCGGCAACTCCCGACTAGAGCCTCCTGTTTTACTCTACTTTCTTAACTTGAAATTACCTAATTATTTTCCAATTTTCGCTTTGCTGATCATTTTTAGCAGTACAGTTGTTGCATATTCCACAAGCACAAATACGGAATAAGGGGAAAATGGCAACCGAGCCAAGTTGGCCATGACATTTGAAAATTGTTTTTGTAAATATGTGTAATAGCCAGAAGAAGGCAGCTCTAGCCTCATTTCAATTAAATTGTCTATCAGCAGCAATAGACAACTCGATATTGAGGCATAAGTGTAAAAGAAAATGTTCCACTCATTTTCCACCTGTCGAATAATAACTGTATGCCCGGAATACCCTGTACCTATTCGATTTGTATGAACTATTCTAGAAGCTACATGTGATTGGAGACTCTCTTCAATCCTCAAAAGATTTGCAGTATTTCAATATCGATTAGTTCTTGATTATCTAGGAGAACCTACGTTTAAATCGTACGCTAGCTTTTATAGATCTGAGATCGATTCGCTTATATAAATAAACAGACGGACGGACAGATAGACGGACGGACTATATATACATACTTCATGGGATCGAAGATATACCCTTTTTAGTCCTCTTCAATGGGAATACACAAAGTTTTCGCTGTGCAAAAAGATTAGATTGATGTCGTTAGTTTTGTTTAAAACAATATATGAACTCCCTTTAACTTGAGATCGATATGCGTACTACTTTACTTTCGAATCGCAATTGAATTCGGCGCAACCTAATTTGTCACTCAAACTCATAAAGCAAATCGCCAACGTGCCGCAAACTGGGACACACATATGTATTAATTTATGCATGCAACACCAATACTTAGACATACTCACAAATATGTGTGTGTGCGTGTGTGTGTGTGTGTGTGTGTGTGTGTGTGCTGCAGTTGCAATCAGAGTTGACGTCGCAGCCGACACACAAAAAATAGAAAGTTTACGTGTTGCATTATTTGCCTGTTGCAGTTGCTGCAGCCGCAGCCGCAGCGGCAGCCGCTGCAAGCATTTGCTGCAATTTTCTCTTTGCAATTTGATTGAATAAAATATTGTGTAAAAGCTAATGTCGACGTCGGCGTCGACGTTGTTGCCAACTTTCCAACCGCAATCGGGGCTTCTAACTCGGTTACGGTTACTAGAAGCAATAATAATTACATTTGTCCCACTTTACTTTCACTTGGCGAGAGTCGAATGCGAATGCGAATGCGAATACGAATGCAACTGCAACCGAGCAACGTGGGCAACTGCGACGGCAGCGGCGGCGGCGGCGACGACGACGTCGTTAGAGACCGGCGTCGACTTTGACTTTGTGTCGCTGCGCAACACTGTGTGTGTGTGTGTGTGTGTGTGTGCTGCATGAAAAGCTGCAACTTTTTCCAGTCGCTAGCTGGGTGGAAATTGTTTACCGTTGCCTGCCTGTTGGCAAAAAGGAAAAGTGGGTCAAGCGCAGCATTATTGCCACACTATTGCTGCACGCTGCGGCTGTCGTGCTGCCTGCTGCCTGCTGCACGCCGCGCTTTGTGGCACCTACTTGACAATTTCGAAGCGGGCCAAATTGTGAATTTTGTTTGCCGTTTTTGTTTAACTGACATTTGCATTTCATTTGCAAAAATAGACTGCGACGATCATTTTCTCTTTTAATACTCATTGAAAATGTCTTAAAGGGTATACTCACTTGACTTTTGTGCAAATTTACAATAGATATGTTCTTGTTCGGCATCCGTCAGAAGTCTGTAGCTCATATATGTTATCAAATTTTGCTAGTAAATGTATATACTGCCCTTTAAATAGGTTTATAACTGTGGTTTTCTTAGTCGGACACTCCCGAAAGATACTTGATATAAGTATATACTATTCCAAATGCTAGATGTCAGATTTGCTGACTCTAGCTCTTAAAACCTAAGAGATTTGCACAGAAACAAGATTTCGTTAACGACTGATCGATAACTTAGAAACGGGACAGTTTATCGATTATCGGAAACAAACTCCTACGCGCGCGCGGAGAATCTACATTTCAAATTTCTAATTTCCAGCTCTTATAGGTTCGGAGATCCTTGTGAGATCGGCTCGGCCATTGATGCTGATCAGGAATATATATACCTCATGGTTTCTAGCACACAACAATGTTAACACTCAGACGATGGATGTTGCATCTATTGTAATTTGACGCGAGTTGTTTAGTGTGGCATTTGGCTCTTCCATCGCCTCGCCAAACCGAGTGGCTTTTCGCTCAGCAAAAGCCAAACGAACTTATACTTTTACTTATATAATGTATGATAATTATGTTAGTTCTAGTGTAAGTATAAGAGCACAAGTATAAGAGTACGCGAATTCTTGAGTTGGGGGTCGAATAGCCGCGATTATGACACTTCGCACGTGGATTGTTGTTTTTATTTAACATTTTTTAAATATATTTTCTAATTTGTAAAGTTCTTCTTCTTTTTACTTAATATTATATATTTGATTTGCTTACATTTCATTAGACATTTAATTTTTTTTTTCTTTGTTTTTTTTTTTTTGTTTTCTTTTGTTTTCTGCTGTCTCCTGTACATACAAAATTATTACATTACTCTTTTTAGCTTATTCTTTATTCAATCTTATTTGCACGAACATTTTCATTGTATATATTTACATGTAAATACTTAAGTACTTAATATAAATCAAAAATCATCTATTTGGTGGTCCGTAAAAGTGTTTTTTTTCAGGCGAAAATGCTCAAGTGAAAAGCCATTTCTATTGTTTACTTAAAATTGTGGTCAAAATTGAATAATGGTTAGTTCGCTTTGAATTAATAAATCAATTGTTTTTGCTTGGCGTTTTTTTTTCTTTCTCATAATTGACTAGTGTTTCAGAAACTGAAACTTACCAGTTTTTCGTAAAAAAAAAATCGGAAATGAAACTAAATTAACGCCGGAGAATTGAATTGGGCTGCTTTGTTTATGATCTTTCTAAGTACGTTTTATAAATAATAATTTTTTTTTTTTTTATAGTGTATTCCATGTTCAATTCAGTACGTATTTTGCCGGATATTTATGAAGGGCTCGAATTTAAACTAATTATAAATTAATATAGTATTGTTGCACAGGAATTTGAAAACAATTATATTCAAACATGTTAATTATTAATCTTTTGGCATAGTTTTGGTTGTTCGAATATAAATTTGCTTAATGCTTGGGATATACAAATGATATTTTGTGTGTGTGTGTGTGTGTGTGTGAGTTTTTTTTTTAAATCTATATAAAACCATAGTTTTTTAAATATAGATAAATTTTAGTGCACGCAAGCTTAGTTGGTTACAATATATGAGCTTGTACATTGAAATAAAAAGATTTTCAATTCTGAAAAGGTTTGTTTACAAATGTTAATTGTAATTGTTAATCAATGAAGGTAATTGAAGTTTTACCTAGAATCGTGTTAGCAATTAGACAACCAAAAGATGACAGGTGTTAAATGCTATAGAGAAAATCGAATAAAAGCAAACATTTGCTTCTTTTTTTGTTTTTGTATGACTTGGCAGGTGACACTTTTGCTTATCTCGAACGAACAGAAGATCCAATTGGTAATGCAACAAACAAACAAAAAAATAGTTCAATAACTTGCAATGGATAACGAATTTTATGACACTGGCGTTGGTTATCGCCGATGCAGAATGTTAGAGAGGGTGCGTATTTGTTTCTGCAGTTCCGAGTCCATTCGGCAACATTCCTCATCAAAGATTTTGCGCATTTGCTGCAGCTGCGGCAACTTGTCGGCTTGCATATTGAGCAGATCGCAGAAGAACTTGGACCACACGTGCTTCTTTAAATAGCGCGGCAACTTTTGACGTATCTCCCAACCGGCGGCTCGTTTCTGCGGCTGCATATACTCGCCAAAGAGCATGACGTGCACCGTGCTGGCAATACAAAAAAGATCTGTTTCATAAGACCAGGAGCGTCCCTCCTGCATTTCGATGCATGTAAAACCGTCCGTTTGCACCACCTTGCGAAACTTGGTGTGCTCGGCGTCGGGAAACAGCGACATATCGATGGCGCATCCAAAATCAATCAGACGCAGCGAAGGTTCGGCATTCTCCACACTTGGTACGCGCATTAGCAGAAAGTTGTCGGGCTTAATGTCCGCATGAATGATGTGCTGTCGATGCAAATGGTCCACAATATTGCAGATCTGCGATGAGAAGTGCATGACCAGAGACTCGTGCATCACTTTTGTGGTGGCCTGACGTATTTTATTATTAATGTCCAGCAGCGAACCGAAAGGCGAGAACTCAGTGGCAATAAGGCTGGCATTCGGTGCTATAATCGCAGTCGATATGTCCATAAGTCCTGGCAGCACGTCCGGATCCCGTATGCGTCTCAGCACCTTTAACAAAAATTACACATCAGCAAATAAAGTATTTGATTGACAAGTCGGAATATTCACCTGATCGCATATATAGATCTCCCAAGTATTTGGCGGCTTCTGGTACTTGAGCGCCACAACGTTACCGGTGCGCGTGTCAGTTGCCTTGTAGACGGAGCCATAGGATCCGCGACCCACCTCTTTATCAATGTTGAACTGCACGCCTTCCAGGACGCTGAGGTTGCGCGTGTTGGAGATTTTCGGCAGCGGTGTTTGCACTACTTTATAGCTGGCATGGGCATCGTTGTCGCCAGGAAAATTGAGTTTAGCCAAAAAGGCGCGGCAGAGCTCGCTGTTGAACGGATCGATTGCCTCTTTGCCCAGGTGACGGGCAATTGTCTCCAGCGCTTTTGACAGACGGCGCTCCTGTGCCTCTGCATCGTGTTGCGTGGCAAAATATGAGTTTTCCTGAAATGTGGAAAAGTCCGCCAGTGTTGTGCTCTGTACAGGCATGTGGTTGTTATTATTGTGCGCAGGCAGCGATTTATTGCCAACACCAGCAACATGTGTGGCTTCACGAAAATTAAGTCTATCCACAGCCAGCGCCAGCGAGCCATTCGAATTGTCCAGGCCACCGGCACTGGAGAACGAGAAGTTGGCATTGTCATTGAAGGTAGCGTTGTGTATTGGTGCAGAGGCAGCTTCAAAATCGGCATGGACAACGCCAGGCTCAACACCATTTGCCAACTGGTCCACCACTGAGCAGGATGAGTTACTGTTGCTGCACAGTTCAGCCTGAAACTTGTTGCCCTGTTTCGCCTTGGCGCGCGCACGCCTGCTCTCATTTGCTGTGCTTTTTGGTGTGGAGGTGTGGCCCAGAATATACGGGTGGAAATGATGGCTTTCGTTTCGCTGGCGCTGCATTGTCGTAGCTCCACTATAGTCTTGCAAGGTCTTGGACGAGGTAGCAAACTTGCGCATAGGTTCGGCTGTTGGTGCCGCTGGTGAAGGCAACTCTTGATGCTGATGGTAAATGCTTTCGATTGTATAGGCACTATATGGGCTACACTCTAGCGTGCGTTCCTTTTTAAATTTCATCTTTATAGAGCGATTCTGTTGCTCAAAGGTCGTCTGTGCTTTAAAGTTCATTTCCACGTCCACGCCATTGGAGTAAACCTGCTTCGCCGGCTCCGCATCTGCATCGTTGTCCTGTTGATCGGAACCCTCCTCATCGGACTCTTCTTCTTCGTCTGATTGCTCTGGTTGGTTATCCTCCTCCCCTTCCTCATCACCGCCAACTTCAGAATTCGCTTGTTTAGCTCCAGCCATTGCCGTCATGCAATAGGATGTCTCCTTTTGATAGGATTCGGAGAGATCCTGTTGCTGCCCATCTTGATAAGTGGGTTCTTTTTGGGTCTGCTCTTGTGCTTTGATATTGAGTGGCTGTTGCGGCGCTTGCGCCTGCGCCAATTGTTTCCGCTGCTTCAGCAGATCCGTGTACTTGCGCGCCAACAGCTCTTCAGGACTGTACTCGATGCCCACGCCGGCTGGGTACACCATTTGTTTCGCATAGTGACAGACGCGTGATGGGTCGTCCGGCTCTTCTAGAGTCAGTGCTGGCTTCCACGTCTCGTGGTTGTTCCGCCCGTAAGCATGAAAATTTCGGGGCAAGCGCACACCTCCAACTTCCGTCAAGGACTCCTGCTGCTGCTGCGGTTGCCCCTCGCTAGGACTTCCGGTGACCGCCGCCTGTTCCTGAAGCTGTGGTCCGAGGTATGTATTTGAGGGAGTCTAAAAATTGGGCAGTAGTCAGTAAGCAGTACGCCAATATCTAAGTGGAGCTTACCCGATTCTGGTGCAACATGGGCGAATAGTGCGAGTGGGCGAGCGATTGGTTCTGTGCAGCTTCAAATGCGGGATGATGCAACTGTTGGCCGAAGCGCGCTGGTGCTGAAGGAGTCGGCTGGAAAAAGAGTATGCACTTTGTTTATATCAAATGGGAAAATAAGGGATCAAATGTGGATTTGGAAATTAGTTTCTTGCAAATCCCCTCACTGAGAGGTCACTTTCAAATATTACCTGTTCTTGATGCTGGTAGTGAGCCTGTGACTGGGCTTGCTGCTGGTGTTCTTGTGCATGGGCGAGATATGTAAGCTCCTGCGGATGCTGCTGATATTGATGAAAGTTATCTTGGCGAACATGATGAGACCTCAATGGTGTGGATGGCGCAGGATTCGGGTAGGCTGGCTGTTGCTGGTGATGATCTTGTTGCTGCTGCTGCTGCTGCTGATGATGCTCTTGCTGTAGGTGATGGGTTTGCGTGTATGTGGTCAGCTGCTGCAGTGCATCGTGAGACGCTGTCTGGTGCTGATGTTGATGCTGTTGCTGCTGCTGCACTTGTTGCTGCTGGAAAAACAATGAGCGCACATATGTGAACTTGGCGTGGGCGTTTTGCAGCTCAGCATTGCTGTGCGCTTTTTCTTGGAACGCCAGATTGAATACTGCTTCAGCGTCCTTGAACTGTTCGTGCGCCTCGTAGTAACTGGCCCAGCCAATATAGAATGCGGCCACCTGGCGACCGGTGCCACGCTGAAATAGAACCTGATAGAAACGCAGCTGGTCCGTCTGCATTGCAATGTATTTAAGCCAGAGGCGCACAAGACGCACATCCTGCCTATAATAGTCGTTGTGCTCGTAAACTGTGAGGCATCGTTCGAGCGTCTCGCGGAACTTAAGTTCGGGATCGCTATGTGCATGGTTTTCGTACCAGCATATGTAATTGTACCAGTGATCGAGCGGATCGGGTCCCTGGTAGAGCGATATTGCGTGCTCCCATGCCTGTTTGTCCTTTAGGAAGTCGTTCACCTCATCCGCACTCAAGTTCTCGTTTGCACTGCTTGTTTGAGTTTGATTCGGGTTGGCCCGCATATATGAATGCATGGCCATTCTGATCCTGTTGATCGGTGTGGAGCCAGAATGAGAGCCAAACCTTAGCGAAGTTTTGAAAGCGTTTGCATTCGTAAATCCAAGTTTCGTAATAAATCCAATTTATTTACACGGCTCTTTGATCAAGGCCGTGGCGATGATTGAGACAATGTGTTTCAACGACAATTAATATTGAATGCTAACACTTTGTTGCTGTCGGTTTTAAAATAAACATATTATTGCTTTTACACTCAATAGCTTTCAGGAATTACAAAAAAAAAATTAAGTCTTATTCTAATGTTTTTTTATGTCGCTGTGTTGCTGATAAGCTATCGCTACTATTTTTGTGGTGGCTAATCGATAACACGAAGAGCAACAGTGCAGTGTTATTTGTATTTCAAGTAAAACAGGGGTGCTCCCAACTTGGATTTCGATAAGTTCCATGACGGTGTTGAAAAACAAACAAAAACAAGCAAATTTTAAACAATTAATATATATGATCTACATCAATAACACAAATCCAGGAAACAGTGCTAGAATTGAATGCAAGTCTATAAGATCGCTGTTCAACTGTGTACTACTTGATTTTTGATTTTCCAAACAATATTTTAGAGACTTGATATCCTTGGAACTGTGTTAAATATGTCTAATTCCACTGGCCATCTGTCATACATTTTTTTCTGAATGTCACATTTTTGTCTAATATGAAAAATATGGCCCATACGTTTTCCCATAAGAAAACATTTATCACATATGAGCAAATGAGAATGCGTTACGTCAGGCAACTCCAAAAGAACAAATATATCGATAAATTGCCACCAGACCCCATTACTCCGCCACTGTGCTCGTTTATAATACATTATGTTTTTACCAATTTAACCATTACGCATCTAGTGGTTTATTATTGACTGTGCAATCGAATGATTTTGTGTATTTTCATGTGCATATTACCGATCTAAACTTATCAACAACAACACCCAATGTTAAAACCGAGCAACAAACCAAAAGCCGTGGCTACATCAACAACAACTACAAACTAGTAGCCTTTTATCGATTTCACCTGAACACAGTGTACAAATACGTTTTACTTTATATAATTATTCTAATAATCAGGCAGAATGTATATGAAATGTACCACACATCGAAGGATTCATCATATGTACTTAATCATGACATTTATGGCCTTCCATTCGGTTCAATATTTCGGGCTCTCAATGTTTCAATCCGTTTGCTGACATATGTACATAACATATATGTACATATATTTCCTCTGGCAAATAAGAGGCAAAGGCTATCGAATAAGATTTGGATTTTGACTGAGCACTTTATCTTAACGTTATGTGGATGAGCTTTGAATATTAATCGAAATTATAGATATGTTATAAATGTGAGCTTCGAATATTGGCGGAACATTTCATATAACTTCTTGGCTTGGTGTTAAAATATATTGCAATATGCTTTAATATATTTCAATCTTGTTATGTCAAAGATAACTCTCTTTCCTAGTACTAATTATGGTATCTATACATTTGACGGATATAGACTTAGCCCGTAGATAATGGAGGTGTCGGCCGATCCGTACGAGCAGAAACTTTACCAGATGTTCCAAAGCTGCGAGACATCGCAACGCAAGAGCGGCCTGCTGGACGAAGTTTCGCTGACGCGCCTCTGCCAGCTGCTGCAGCTGCGTGATCAGGGATCGGCGCTGATCTCTAATCTGACCGCCAGTGGTAGCTCCAAGCTGGGTGTTTCGTTTGAGCAATTCAAGGTAGCTCTGCTTAATTTCTTGGGCACAGAGTTCGACGGCTCAACAGCGCGTCCCGGATTAAGCACACCATCTGGACTTAAAGGTAAGGCCCGATTTTTTACCTAAACTCGAGTGTCAGCTGTAGATAATAAAACAGGAGTTGCAATTCATCAGCTTTTATGAGGGGTAAAACCGGGATACCTGCCTGTTATTGTGTCCTGCCAGCGGCTTAGGTAAAGCTAACAACGGGCATTGTGCATTTAAGAGTGCTCCGCTGTGTGTTTGTCCAACAGTTGCAATTAGATCCTCCTCACGATACAATATGGGCACACGATTGTATTACAAACAGTGCTCGGGCTTTTTTGATCCCATTATTGAAAAACTAGCTGCTCGTTTTGGTACAGCGAAATTCGTCGAGCATATCTAAAGCCAATTACTAATGAGCTTTTCTTTTGCAGAGCGTTCTTTGGTGATAAGTGACGAATCACCCGCCAACACATACAAGGAGAGCCCGCCGGAGGGCGAGGCGTCTGATCGTGAGGTTTCGCCCAAGCTTATCGTGGGCACCAAGAAGTATGGCCGCCGCTCACGGCCCCATCAGATTGGCCTCGACGAATTACCCGTTACGGACTCGGATAATACAGATGAGGATCAGCAGCAAAGTCTTAACGGTTTTAACGCGCACATCGTCCAGGTGAGCTGCAGCGGCTCGTTGTTAATTTTCGCCATAATCAATTGCTGTTTTTTAACTAACTTTTTAGGTGCAACGATCGTCGTCACAAAGTGATCTGCCTGGCAGCCGGTTCCTGCACTCAATCTACTACAGCGGCAGCAAGCTCAAGCGCTGCGCCTCGCTACCAGCACGCAAGAATCTGCAATCCAAAATGATCAGCACAACAACAACGGCGAGCACGACAGTCGGTGCGCAAGTCGACAAAAGCAGCACCAAAAGAAATCTCAGAGAGGCAACAAAAGAGTGCAGCAGCGTCGAGTCGCTAGGTAAGTGCCACTTATTCACTTGGCTTACATTTTTCTCTGGTTTTTCCAATTTCGGTACAACACATCAGCTTTAGCTAAGATCCACCACAATTAGTTAATCATAATTATATATACTATATATTAAAGACTAATTTGCTTTGCCTTTGGATGCATTGGACAAGCATTGGGCATACTTAATTCAATGTTGTACTAGGGATATTTTCATACTATTCAGGAAAACCCAATGACTATCTACAATTTGGTAAACATATTTTAAAGTCAATAGATTAATATAAATCTTGGTTTTAGCAACCTATTTAAATAAGAGTAAACTCTTTCGTTTCTTAACTTAATTAGAAACAATGCAATGAAGTGGCTTAATGGCTAATGGCTAATGCAAACCAGGATAAAGAAAGCCCAAAATTAGTTTCTAAAAATATTGTACAAATAATTCAGCATTGCATTTTTGTAATTTTTACAAACTTTTAAACAATCGTTGACATTTTCGTTGTTTAAATACTGCACATAAATTTGATTTCCTTTGCTGTCAATCGAAATATAAATAACTTAAATAATTGTAAAATTCAGTCAACAATATGTTGATTAATAATTTGAAAATCGTTTATTTGAATTAATTTCCTAATTGTTTGTCGTACACCTTTCATTGTATTTTATGGTATATAAATTTTCTGTGGCTTAACAATGCTAATTTTCGGCTCATGCTTTACAGATCTAATGACCCCACATCATTTGGAAAAAATTAGCGCGCAAGTTATCGTTGACACCTGGGAAATGGCAAATATAGTTAATAGTGTAGGTCTGTTGCACGCTCTGGGCTTCGACGAGGACGAGGTGAACCTACAGCAGCTGACCAAAGTCCTGGAAGAAGAGATACGCGGACTTGAGCTAGATGCACATGCAAATGTGTTGCGTGCTCTGGTGGCGCTCCAAACCTTAGAGCTGGGATCGCTGCGACAGGCATATCGTCAACAGCATGAGGAAAATCTTAAGCTTCGATCTGATAATAAGGCAGCCAATCAGCGAGTGGCGATGTTGGCCGCCGAGGTGGATGAAAGACATGCAATTTTGGAGGACAACTGCAAGCAGGAAGTCCATCAACTGGAGCAGAGACACGCAAGTATGGTGCGTGATTTAACTCAGCGCATTACAAGCGATCGCGACCATTGGACCAGCATGACTGCGAGACTGGAAGCTCAGATTAGAAGCCTCGAGCAAGAGGAGATCAAGCTGAAGACTGAGCTAGAGCTGGTGCGGGCTGAAAATACTGAGCTCGAGTTGGAACAGCAGAAGGTCCACCTGCAAATGACTGAGGTACTGGAGCAGAACATTAAGCTGAATCATGAGCTGGCTAAGTGTGAGCCAGTTATTAAATTGGAAAACAGTGAACATGCTGGCAACGGCAGAGATAAGACTTCAGAGGATGATGAGATTTTGGTCGTTATGGAGCAAATGGCAGCATTGAAAACGGAGAACGCACAGTTACGTGACAAGACCGATGAGTTAACAATGGAAATTGAGAACTTGTATGTTGATCTGGCTCGTACAAAGTCAAGAAAAAAGGATGCTGCAACTGTTGGTGTGATTGCCTCAGCTGCGGACTCTGCCGAATGTGAAGAACTGGAGGCTGTTAGCGTCGGATTGGCCACCAAGCGACGAGGCGATTCGCCCAGCAAGACGCACGTACTTGGCGAAAGTCCGCGTCTGGGAAAACAGCGCAAGTGTTCGGAAGTAGGCGAGTCCAGTGACAACAGCAGCGATTGGTTGGCGCTTAACTCTGAACTGCAATGCTGTAAAAGTCACGAAGAGGAGCTTGCTGCTCTGCGGCTGACCGTCGAGCAGTTGGAACTAAAGCTACAGGCGGCAACCTCAAAGGCTGCCGACACTGCTAAAAGCGATAGCAATAGTCGTGCCACCACGCCGGAGACACGCTGCAAGGAGCTAGAAAACAGTTTGGAGCAAATGCAGCGCGCTTACGAGGATTGCGAGGATTACTGGCAAACCAAACTAAGCGAGGAACGGCAAATGTTTGACAAGGAGCGCCAACTTTATGAAGATGAGCAGCTGGAAAGCGACAAAAAGTTCACCGAGCTGATGGAAAAGGTGCGCGAGTATGAGGAACAGTTTAGCAAAGATGGCCGGCTGTCGCCAATTGATGAGCGCGATATGCTGGAACAGCAATACGTTGAGCTCGAAGCGGAGGCCACGAATCTGCGGAATAACTCAATTCGCATGCTAGAAGAAAAGTCTCTCCAAATAAGCGCATTACAGAGTGAGGTGGAAGACTTGCGTACACGCCTAGGCGAGAGCGTAGAAATATTAACTGGCGCATGTGAGCTCAATCCGGACGTACTCGATCAGATAACTGCACAGTCTAGTCAAAGGCCAGCCAGTTCGCCCATCAGCTACCTGTGGCACCAAAGCACAATCCAGGAACCACTTAAATCGTTCGATGCTGCTAACGGAGAAAGCACTCCCAAGGTCCTGACACTCCTGTGCGAGTCTCCTAGCCACAAATTAACCAGCCGGTAAGTACAGCGCGGCTCTTGCCAGTCCTGCTTTTCTATGTATGTATATGTGTTTATGTGTCGCGTCGTTATAATGTTCTGATCTTATTTAATTATTAATATATAAGTGGATGAGTGGATGTGGTTTTCACACGTTAAATAAATTAGATAACACTTCGATTCGAACTTTTGTCAAATTCATATTAAGCTACTCTATGAAATAGTTTAACATTTTATTATCAACATAATAAAAGTCAATTAATAGTTCTTATTTTTTTATATCATTAGAGTACACATATGTGTAATTATTAATTGAGTTCGATTGACAAATATATTTCAGATAAATTAGAGAAATATTTATTTAAAACAGAAATTTACTTTAGTTTGTGTTCAGAAAATAGGTAAATGGCCTGAAACAAATTGTCAAAGGCAAATGGAATTAACTCCAACCCATTTAATTATATCCTAGGTCTCTATAAGCTTGGTTTTCAGATATTATAAAAGCTAGAAGCACTATTTTAAACAACAAAGATCTTGTATAGCATGCCCAGATCAGTTTTAATATTTGCTAATAAAATTAAAAAGAATTTTTGTTTGTTTTCTCTCCGTTTTTTTTTTTTTTTTTTTTTTTTTGGAAATATATCATAAGTTTGGAGGGAACTCCCATTTATTGGGTTTTAATCGACTAGGTTCTGAGATAGGAAAGACAGACGGACATCATGGCTAGATGGACTCGGTTATTGATGCTGATCAATATATACTTTATGGGTTCGCAGATGATACCTTCTGCCTGCCATTTTGCGCAAATATATTAGACCCTTTTTACCCATTTTCAATGGGTTCGTTTACTGCGGTCTGAGAACTTATTGGTCTACGCATTTTTAGGTATTTAATTTGTACACAAGGCCGAACTTTTAAAGCGAGATTATAGATAATTTTACGTTATACATACAAATGTACGGGTTTATTGATCTAAAGCTTATTGTTTTTGCTCTTGTGATGTGTGCTGTCGAACGGTTTAGTTTAGTTTTCCATCATTAGCTTACCAATTTTTAAACACTAAATAAATCCTTTGTTTTAGAAACAATCTTACTACGTCGACGACATCCATATTTAGTACCACGCCTCGAGGCACTTTATCCTCGGGCCAATCACCCACAAACAGTGATACAAAATATACTTCGTCAACAAGTGTTTGTACGCCGGCGCCCATTTGCAAGCCCAAATGTTCGTCGGAAGGCGAAATCGCGGATAGTGAGACCTCATCAACTGCATCGAACAAGAGCTTTGATTCGCACAGCGTTGTGTCCACCAGCAAAGCGTCTTGCTTCAGTCATGAAAAGTGCAGTAGTCCAAGTGCTCTGAAGGAGGAACTGAAACGTCTTAAGTTCTTTGAGCTTTCACTCAAGGAGCAGATAAAGGATCTGAGTCTGCAACGTGACGGTTTGGTCATGGAATTGCAACAGTTGCAGGAAGCACGTCCTGTTCTTCAGAAAGCATATGCGGTAAGATCGTTGATAATAAGGCATTATCTTTTATTTAAACTGCTCCTTTTTATTCTTAAACAGCGAACAACACATCCGACGCTTCAGCAGCGACTTAATCAGCTAGAGCTGCGGAATCGTCATTTACAGAATGTGGTTAAGCAACAGCAGAAATATACCGAGACTCTGATGCAGCGTAAGTGTAACAAGCAATTCTTACTATTGACTGATTAATTGCCATAAATTTAATCCATAGAATCCTGGCGACAGCATCAAGTGGATCTCAACGAGTTGCACGGTCGTATTGAAGCACAGGCTGTCCTGATTGCCGATCAGACGCAGCGTCTTCAGAACGCCGATATTCTTGTGAAGGATTTGTATGTGGAGAATTCGCATTTGACCGCTAATGTTCAGCGACTCGAGCAGCAGAGAGCACGCGTTAATCTCATTCATCAACAGCAACAGAAACAGCACCATGTGCCTGCCTTAAGCGATCCATCTGGAATTCCGTAGGAGAAACGCACCAGAGATTAAATGAAAAGACACATCGAAGTAATACGATAATATGTACCAATACACTAGGCAACATTAATGCAGTGATATTCTTCAGAGTATTTACATGATATTTTCTTGTTTGTATTCACACATATATATAATTATATATGTTCTCGATATGACTAAATGTTTTTTGCTGCAGAGCACCTAAAGAAGCAGAACGGAACAATCGACTGTACCGATTTTTATATCATAAATCTACTAATTGAACTTCATATTTGGTATATACATTGTTGAACGTATAAATCAATTGATATAGTTAACGAAATAATATAGATAACATTTTAAATTGGTTAAAAATATCAAAGTTTACCATTCGCATATATATTGTTATTTCAATGGTATTCAAGTAAAAAAAAAAAAGACGTCAAAGTAACTAGACTTGTAATGCTATTATCGTAAAATATGTATTTATTTTGCATATTAATTTAGTTAATATGCAATCGTTTTGTCAAATATTTATGTATTAACATATTTACGAACCAATTAATTTGTAAATGCTCGATGTACACCTTAATTGTATGTTATGATCTGTGCTTGTTAATGTACGAACAAAACATTAAACTATTTTATAAAACCAAAAACGAAAAGTTTAAATATTTTTGCTGATATCAGCTGTGTGGGATATTTCAATATTCGCAATATGAATATGAATGAATCTTAGCAATATTCAATATTATGGTCAGGGACTGGAATGTAGCTGGAATGCAGATTCAAGTGACGACGGTCCGGATGGAGTCCAACTCTGTGCAAAGGCATCCCTTATCAGATCCCACATGTTTTGTCAGCTGCTGCCTAGCCAAATCCTAAAAGCTAATAAACGTCGAAAAGGTCGCATTATATTCCGCCTTTCAGTTTGTTTGAAAAGCAGCCACCAAATATTTGTGTTGCCATTGCATTATATGAAGATCAATTTATTGGCACAACATACGATTAACTCAGGAAGTCATGTATTTCATTATGTTGTAATCTCGCATTGCTTGGCACCTTTGCTCATAGCTCAAAAGCGACGCTTCCAATGTGTTGAATTCCACATTCAATAAATTGTTATTCTGCTTTAGTAGAGCCAAAAATGTGCTGACAGCTGATTTTGGTTTAACTACTGTAATAAACAAAAATTAATATTTTTAATTTTTACTTTCAATTAATTAAAATGTTTTTTTTTTGTTTTACGTTGTGGCTGGAGCTTGCGTTCAGTAGTCGGTTGTGTGGTCGTGGAAGAACGTCGCGTTTTACTACCATTTTCTACAAATTGTGCAATTACACTACGAAATTTCTCCGGTATTAAAAATAGACGATCCACATTGCCTTTTTTATAGCAAAGATATGCCGATTTCATCTGAAACCATTTTCTGCGCACTTGAGTTGGCGATTTGTTGGGAAATCCGTGTCTTTTCATTTTGCTAGCAATTTGTGTAAAAGTATTGTGCGTTGTTGCAGTGTGTGCTGATCCTTGTGACAGTCTCACTTCATTTATTAAATTAAGCATGCATTCGATTTCGGCAGTGAGCCAAAAATTTCTTTTTAATTTTCCAGACTTCATTGTTTGAGAATAATTATTTACTATTTATTAGAGATGTGTAATTGAGTACGTGCGTCAAGTTAGCAGCGCTTCGATTTTTGGAACTTGGTTCCGATTCTTGGAACTTGGCTCACAGATTTTTTTATTAATTTGTTCATAAGCACATAGAAAAATGTGCACTGTACATATTTTTAATTAATAATTCTTAAAATCAATTAATTATTATACCTTGGGATACCTCCCCCATCAGGGGAACAAATTAAATTTATTGAAGATGTGAAACTGTTCACAAAATCTAACATTTTTCAAAATGGCAGCCATAGAAAGTTTTGTGAAAAAGCATCAAAAGTATTAATTTTAAAAATAAATTGACAACAATATAACATTTCGTCGCTACAGTTAGAAAATACGCATTCACAGTCGAGTCTACCCTCAGCGCTCTATGGATACCGCGGGCGTTATCTGCCAGAGGTTGTCTAGACACTCGAACAATAAATGCCAATTGTTCACAGACAGCAAACTTATGTTTGGGATATCGTTATGTTTAACGCCGGCTTCCAACGATGTCTGAGAATTAGTGGTTATGCCATTATCTTGATTACATTTATCACACTTCATTCTTCTTCTTCCCCTCGTAGCCGCGGAAGTAAAGTTGCGTTGAGCAACAGATCGTCGATGACCGGTTGCATGGCGGCTGGCGGATATATTCAAACTTATGCTCCTTGCCCTTAACTTCAATAATTCGAAACCTTGCCTTAGTCCGGCCACTCGAAGGTTGCTAGCGAACCTGTTGGCGTATACAGCTGCTTGAATTTGGTCTTCGAACCAGGGGATTTTCAAGTGTCCGTAGTGTACGCTATTGCGAACGTAAAATGGAGCTTCTGCCAAACTGAATAGAGTTGTACCTCGGAGAGATTGCACTTTTTGCGATTTCATTAGACTGCGCTCTTTTGCGGTTGAATTGACAAGCCAGAGCTCAGGTTTCTATTCCAAATCGCCAGATGGGTGCCACATCATATAGGTTAACTAACTAAGAAATTACATATTCTTAAACAAACTATTAGAAAACTTAACTAACTAAAAGTTATGAGCACATATTGACCATTAGTTTCTTTTTAAAAGTTTTGTTTATTAAGTTAGAATAAATATATTCTAATTACATCTAAAGGAATTACAATAAAGTTAGCATCAAAGATCAACTTGAACCAACTGTTACCTTTAGTGGTAATACATTTTCCAGGCTGCCTGATGGCGAGGTAGTCAAGCGGGACACATAAGAGTCATCACTTTTCACGTGCTTTTCTTCCACATTATCCTTAAAATACCAATTTTTTTTGTTGGCCAGGAACAGTAGCATGAGGGCAGGTAAATGTATTAATGAAAATCTGAACAACTTTCGGGAGCTTCCACTGTCAGATTTGGATTTAAATTCATAAGCTGAAATTAAGAAACAATAGATTTATAATTATACTCTATTTAGAACATGTATGAGCTAATAACTAAACAAGTCTTTGAAAAGCCGGCGGTTTAAAAATTTTTTTTTTTATATTCTATTTATTTTTGATAAAATGATTGAGACTTTTTGTAAAAATCAACATGTTGACAACGTATAGGGAGAGAAGAGGCAAAATTGACCCACAATAAATAAAATTTGGATTTCAACTTATAGTTACATTAAAGGCTTATTCCTATATATAAAAGTGACTTGATTGATTGGCGATGAACGCATAGCCCATATATACCATACCATACCATAAATCTATACCAAAAATAATTTCCCACTTTTCGCTGAATCTAAGCTTCCCCGGTAGAAATCCGATTCAAAGACTCTTTGCATATATATGCCTGCATATATATGCCTGTTTGTACAAACATGTATTCAAGTTTGTTTTGTTTATATGCCAAAAAGCATGCATGCGTACATGTATAAATGTCCGGATACCTACATACATGCATGCATGCGTACATACTCACATATAAACACATACACATAAATATACAAGTATATATGCATGATGCATAAATATGTATGCATGTTTGTATATACATATATGGATGCATGCATGTTTGTTTGTAAATATGCAAACAGGCATACATATGTACATACACACGTACATATGTATACATACATACATACATGTGTACAAGCACACGTACATATGTATACATATATACATGTGTACATACATAAACACATATGTTCACTTATTCATATGAACATACATGCATACATACGTATATATGTACACACGCGTATACATACATATATACACAACACACACAAATAATTGTACATACATACACTCAAAAAAAAAAACACAAAAAAAAAATCACCACACTACTAGCTGGGCATGAAAATCTGCAGAGCCTACTTGAATTCTTGAGAATCGAGGAGGAGAGCACTTGGCAGAAATTCGTTATTTTCAAATTTGCAGCACAGCGACAAATAAGTTTGGTCTGCGTTTGGTATTAGAAAACAAGGATGCATGAATACATACATATATATGTATATGCATACAAACACTAACACACACACACACACATGCATACATACATACATTAACACACACACATATATTACTTATATTCCTTTGTACAAAATTCAACCCCTTTTTTAGAATTTATAAGCAGATTAAGTACATTTGATTTTATGGGTATTGCCTTTCGTCTTTCCCATTTCAACTATTGGCTTACAATCTTTTTAAACCATTTTTAAACTGGTTTGACTTTCCAAAAGTTATGGCCAAACTATTTTATCCCGTTAATTAGTATTATAGTAAAAGCATATCTGACACAATCTGAAAGTGTATTTGTTTTATCAATAGGCCGAATTTATACAGCTTATCACCTGAATCTGATTATTCCTATCTAAAATAAGAAACTAAATTCTGCCACCAATTTTCACTTACCTAGATAACAAAAGTATGCATTTAAAGGCAACGTCTCCAAAGCAAACCAATAATTAGTAACATCAGCAAGGGGAGCTACCATAGACAGTCCGCAAATCGCGAATGCATAGCGTAGTGCAGTTCGACGACAAAGGCCCGGGTTGGTAACAGCCATCATGCGATATCCGGCTCGCGAATAATCCGGACGTAGGTTCCACGACAGGGCGTTGAAGTGCGGGAACTGCCACGCGTACAGAATTCCGGCAAGAATCATTGCGCCCGCATCCAGAGTTCCTGTGCAACCTGCCCAGCCCATCAGTGGCGGTATTGCTCCAACAATTGAGCCTATCCACGTGTTGGCAATACTCATTCGCTTCATTGGCGTATATATTGAGGTGTAAAGAAACAGGTTACCGGCGCCCAAAGCTGCTGTTAGCCCGTTGACACCAAAATACAATAAACATAATCCTGAGGTCGCTGATACAACTGCGAAACCAACCGCTTTGAGCGGAGTTATTTGGCCAGTTACCAACACGCGGTTTTTCGTCCTCGACATTTGTGAGTCGAAGGGAACTTCATGATATTGGTTGATAGCATTTGCCGCTGCTGAAACCAAGCCTGTTCCCAATGTGCACATTGCAAATGTAGTTAAGTCAAACGCAGCCGGTGCCATGGCATATCCGCCCATTGTCGTTATGACAACTAACGCTGTTGGGAAAATGTATTAGTTTCTTTTCTTTTTAAAACACATTTTAAATCAACTTACATGTCAAACGAAACTTGGAAAGTTTTTTGTATTTACTAAAAACTTTGCCATCATCTACATATGGGCTCGGCATCCATGGACATTTCTCTACGGATATTTTTACATTTTCTGATTTCTGTTGATTTAATATGCTGGAGGGACCAGAGTTATTAGATGATGGCACGTTTCTTGCATCCTGTAATTTTGTACTCGCCGAAGATCTCGCGATTGTCGAAAACTAAGAATTGTACAACTATTTTGAGTACCAGCACGTTGCATAACAATTTCCAATATCTTACCCGAAAAAATTGTACTTGCGCAGAAAGTATGTGTGTTGATAAGCACTCGATTGAACTAATTTTATAATACGCGCGAAACATTATATATTTTGTTTTGCTGCTTAATATTTAGTATTTAAATCATATTTTAAAGTTCTTATTCTTAGGGCTTGGATTAGATATGTGCAATTTGCACTCAGCACCCAAATTGTAACAGGTATTTAAAAGTAACTAGTTACTGTGTACTTTAATAGAAAGTAATAGTTACAGTGAAAATAAATATCATATAAAATAATAAGGTTGAAAAGAATGCAAGTAACTTTTTAGTTTATTGCGACCACAGTATACCAAGATCATTTATTTGGTTGATACACAATATCTTTTTGTAATTTAATACGTAGGCCTTTACGAACAATCGCACAAGAGTTCAATTAATTTGCACATCACTAAGCAGCTGACTCCAAAATATACACAAGCGACAAAACAAAGGTGACCGTATTTAATGACACAATCGGGAGTCGGTGGCTTTGCTGTTATTGTCTTACTAATACCAAACTTCGTGAAAATCGAGCTATGGGGGTGGGAAATTTGGACCTATATAGGAATTTTGATCAAGTAAAATATTAAATTTGGATGCCAAATTTATTTGGAAGCCTATGTACCGTAACTAGAGACCCAAAGCTCGTGGAAATCTGATAAGATTTGACCGAATTATATGGGAGGAAATTTTATCCTATGTCTATATAGGATATTTCAGGGTACTATTAACACATGAATTTTGACCAAAAATTATCTTGTTACATTTGGATACCAAATTAAAACCATTATGATATTTGGCTGAGTTATGGGGGTGGGAAATTTCGACTAATGTCTGTATAGGATGATCATGTGTATACTTCGACCTTGTCCGTGGCACGCTTTAAATAAATTCTCTTTAAATTATTATAAAACGAGTTTCCAAACGATCAGACAGTAAACTTACATATTTTATACAACCTTTTTCGCTAATATCGCGAGCTAAATTTCCTAAATTTCCGATATTCCAAAATTACCAAAAAATTATTTTCATCACTTGCGGACGCAATCTAGCACAAAAATAATTGGCAAACCCACCATTTTACCGAGTAACACTTTAATTATGTCAAATTAAAAAATGCAATACTACCTCTATTTTTAAAGGCAACTCGTACTAAGCCAATGTTAATTCATCGATATATTTACATTCGATATTTTCTACATATTTACCACATTTCCTATTTGTTCATTATCAGTCTGTCTGCTTTTCTCTTTTTGTTTCGTTCACAACCCTGGTAATCGGACCAATTTCTGAAAACTATTCGGGATAACATTTCGTTAAGAAATTCGTAGCTACAAAACCACAATAAGTATATAGAATGGTTGTTGGCCTAAAACAATAGGACTGCGACCTACACACACCTTTGTATAAACGTCGACCAAATACTTAAATATTTGTGTATGTATTAAACTTCGTATTTCTCTTTTGATTCACCAAAATATGCATACATACATACATACATGCAAATGTATGCTTTTATATATGTATGTCATTAACAGTATTTGGACAGTTCTATTGTTTCATTGTGTCTTCATATATGAACTATACATGCATACCTAGCAACCTTCAGGCATTAAAATTATTATTTTGCACTGTCAAAACAGAAATTATGTCTGCATGTATTACGTGTTAAATATGTGTACTTACATATGTATATCGAATTCAATTTATATATGTATGTACATACATACATATGTGTTTATGTACTTCAGACGATTTGTGTTTTGCAATAATAGTGGTTTCTTTTGTCGATCCGCAGTTGCACACTTTGATTACACCTGTATGACAACAAATACAAATAAAATGTATATCTACCAAATGATAAAAAAAAATAACAATTGGATTTCAACAACAAGCATATCAGTAAATGAGCAGCATAATACATTATATCAGACTGTTTTGATTATGTTTTGCACTGAATAAATTTACAAATTATTCTGCTAACATATTAACAAGGTGTCAATCCATCTGAAACAGATATAATTAACAATGTGTGTTATGGAATCAAATGATAATCTATTCATGCAGAAGCAATTTTAAACAGTTGCTTAACAGTGACGTTAACAGAAATGTTACAGAACGCATATGAAATTGGTGAAGTGCTGATTAGCATTATTTTTTAATCCAAGCCAATTCCTATATTTTACGAAATTGACTCAAAGGGTTATCAAATAATAAATGTGAAACTTATAAATGTTGAGTTTGGTCAAGATATCAAAAAACCGACAATACAACAACTTAAGATTCGACCGATCGTTCCTATGGCAGCTATATGATATAGTGGTCCGATTCTGTTCGGATTTTGCATATACACTAGGAGCATAGTAAAACTAATAATTGCCGAGTTTGGTCAAAATAAGTTGATCAATAAAAAAGTTGTTTATACTCTTATACCTACTTTTCAACCGATTGTTCCTATGGCAGCTATACGATATAGTGGTCCGATTCATATGTACTGCGTGCAACAGAAAGAGGGACTTCTGCAAAGTTTCATGACGACAGCTTTAAAACCTAGAGACTAGTTCGCATAGAAACAGACAGTCAGACTTGGCTATATCGACACGGCTGTTGATACTGATCAAGAATTTATATATTCTTTGTGGGTACGGAGATGTATCCCTTTATTCCCCTCTAATACCCTTTAAAAGAGTTTAAAAATACTGTCATTAATTTTATGTGGATCAGGTCCGGTATCACTTTCATTTTTCTTCGGGTCTAAAACTCGCTTGCCTGCTCAGAGAGCAAGAGAGATTTGATCATCTTTACTTGCATCCAAATGGGTAAAGAGGCTGTATTGCATGTTATAAAAATGCCTTTGGGCAAGTGTGTGACATATACTTCTCCGACCTTATAAAGCATATATATTTTACCCATCAACTAATAAGTTAATTGAGCTATGTCTGTTTAACTGTCAGTAGACATAACACATCTGGCTTATTTCGTATAATCAATTACATTCCGCTTTTCCACAAAATCAAGAAGAATCGGATTTCATATTTTGTCTTTTGTCAATATTATTTAAAAATTAATGACTAGCCATGATTTGGATTCAATTAGGTTCTCAGGTTCACGAAACGATCTTAAAGGAAAGGAGTTGCTTAGAAAAAAAAATATTCATGCTATTAAAGCATCAGGTGCACCTGGAGTATCGCTTAAAATCATGAATGATGTATACAGCGTAGCAATTGCGTCTTCTTATCGCGAAAGTTACAAATAAAAAACAAGAATAGTCACGATTTTGGCTCCCATAAATTATTCCTACTCTTAAATAAATTGCTGAGCAGTCAGTTTGACATAAAGTTTCATCCACTGTTCTTTGTCCAACTATATATACTTACTTTTTATAAATAAAATATAAAGTATGCTAAGTTAGCTAGTTAGTTAATATATATATAGTTAATACATTAAACATTTTCATTTTCAGCTACTATAAAACATCTGATTTTTAAAACGGATATCAGTATAAAGTGTATAACTATTTCCAACAAAATAATGAACGGCCTGGCCAATAGTAATGATGACTCCGTTGAGTGTCCATTGTGTATGGAACCCTTGGAAGTCGATGATCTGACTTTTTTTCCATGCACTTGTGGATACCAAGTAAGTGTTATTTAATTTATGATTACATGGCCTGTAAATGCCCATTTTTAATTACAGATTTGCCGATTTTGTTGGCACAGAATTCGTACCGACGAAAACAAACTATGCCCAGCATGTCGGAAAGAATATCCAGAAAATCCAGCTGATTTTAAACCCCTTACGCAAGAAGAAGTAAGTAATATTTCGTTGATGGGATATTATAATATTAATAACTTTATATTCATATTTGACGCGTAATATACAAACTATTAGAAATCGTTTGAGCAGGACTGACATAAATACAGAACATTTAAAAGTCTAATACGATTTAACGAACATGTCACCGCATATATAACACAATTTTCCCTTCTAAAATTATATTGAAGCTGGACTGATCAGATTGGTGGCCATTTTGTTGCCGACTATTTTCTTAGATTAGATTACAAGTTGCCAGAGACACATGCAAACATTCTTTGTCAGGAATGTGGGTTTTAGTTGTGTTTAGTCTGATAAACTCTCTGTATTTGTGGAAGACTTATGGCTGACGATATTCAGTAGCTATTTTAAGTGAAGCTATCATCCATTATGAAGCGATTGCACCGTCGCCCATGTGATGAGCATTGGCCAGACTTTAAAATCTCTCCCAGGAGGGAGGGCATCTGAGATCTCAGCCGAATTGTTAGCACGGGTCGCACAACACTTGAGTCTAGTAAAGGACTAGTGATAAGGCCTTATAAGGACCTTTGAAGTCAAGGACTTGAAGCTTAAACCTTTTCCAGTTGACAGCTTTAGATTGGCTGCAAGGTAATTTCAAAGATCTTTGTAAGCAGTTATTAAATATGGTTTTCCCAAATTCAAAGCGCTGAAGTGAAGAATGCTGCTAACAAAATTAATGAAAAAAGTACATATAAACGATCTAGATGGTTCGGGTAGATTACAATTTTCCTCGGGCGAGAAGTCGGTGGAAAAGAAATATATATTAAATTTTTAGCAAAAAGTTTGGCACGTGCATATCCCTGCCATTCCCGCTAGTTTATATGTTTATATAAAGTGTAAAATGATTTTTATAGTATTAAATTAATTAAATATTAATTTTACCAAAACCTTGTTAGATGATTGCCTTTAAGTCTCAGAAGCGGCAGAGGGACCAACAGCGCAAACAAAAGATAACTGAAAATCGGAAACACTTAGCAAACGTTCGAGTGGTTCAAAAAAATTTGGTATTTGTTGTTGGCTTACCGCCTCGACTTGCAGACGCCGACGTAAGTATTAAGAAATATGCGTATTTGTTATTCCTTTGTTGATGGAGTCATCTCTCAGCCATCAATTATATTATATACAAAAAGCTTTTCTTTTGAAAATTAACTGCATTTAAAAGGATTATTATTTCATAATATATTCACCCAAAACCGAATCTAATCGGTCTACCACATAATATGGCTACCGTTCGAACGAACGCATACATGGAAATTTAATTCTCGGCGTGCCGAGAAGATTTGTATTCACCAACAAAATATTTTTAATATTTCCATATTAATTTTT